AAAAAGGAAGGGAATTCTGGGCGGGGCAGAGTGGCTCACACCTGTGATCCCAACACTTTGGGAAGTCAAAGCAGGAGGATCGCCAGAGGCCAGGCTGCAGTGAGCTATGATCGTGTCAGTGCACTCTTGGCTGGGTAGCAGAGAGAGACCCTGTCAAAAAAAAAAAAAAAAAAAAAAAAAATCTATAGACAAAAATGTATATAATGAGTAAAAAAAAATAGGGAATTTCTGGAAAAATATGATAACTCTTAAAAGAACCAAATGGAAATTAAAAATTTTGTGGCGATTAACAGACTATTGAACACATGAAAAATCAGTAAATTTGAAGGTAATGAATAAAAACCATCCAAATTAAACCTCAGAGAGAATAAAAATGGAAAATATAGCTAGACCCTCAGTGACCTGTGATACAGTATCAAGTGATCTAATATGCATTCCAAAAGAAGAGGAGAAAATATGACTGAAGAAATACAGTTATGTGTCACTTAACTGGAGTATGTTTTAAGAAATGAGTTGTTGGGCGATTTTGTCATCGTGTGAACGTATAAAGTATATTTACACAAACTTAGATGGTATGACCTACTATACATCTAGGTCGTATAGTAGAGCCTATTGCTCCCGGGCTACAAACCTATATAGCATGTAACTGTACTGTATCCTGTAGGCAATTATAACACAATGGTAAGTATTTGTATATCTAAACCTAGAAACGGTACAGTAAAAATACATTATAAATGTGATACAATGTTACTATGGCTATGACATCACTAGGTGATAGGAAATTTTCAGTTCCATGACAATCATATGGGACCACCACCATATACGTAGTTTGTTGTTGACCAAAATGTTGTTATGTGACACATGACTATATATGAGGAAATGACAGCTGAGATTTTCCAAAGTTATTAAAAAATAACAACCCTACAGATTCAGGACTATCAATAGAGGGCAAAATAAATACAACCATAACTAACCACAACAAAAATAAACTATCGAAAACCAACTACAGAGAGAAAATCTCAAATATATCCAGAGAAAAGCCAGACATAATATAAAGGAGCAAAACATTAAAAATAATTGATGTGTTATTATCAGGAAAAATGGAGACCAGAAGATAGTGGAAGAAACATTTAAAGTGCTGAAGGCAACAAATATCAAAAATGGGTTTCTATATCCAGTGAAAAATGTATTTAAAATGAAACTAAAACAAACATATTTGCAGATAAATTAAAGGTAAGAGAATTTGTCACCAGCAAAATCATTTTACAATAAATGACAGTGGAAGAACGTCAGGCTTTAGGGAACAATACCAAATAGAAGTCTGCTGCATGGGAGGGTAGAACAGTAGAAATGTAAATATGTTGGTAAATATGAAAATTGGGTTTGTTTCTCATATTAAATTCTTTAGAAAAGGCTGTTTAAAGCAATAGTAATAGCAATCAATTGTAAAATTTATTACCTATATGATAATCATATAAAATATATGAACACAATCACACAAAAGAACATTATATGTAAATAAAATTATACTGTTGTAAGAATCTTACATTATATGTGAAGTCACATAACATTAATTTAATTCAGAATGTGGTAAATTATGAATGCACACTAAAATCTTTGGAGCAATCATTTAAAAATAGTAGAAACAGGGAGAGCTTAAAAGCCAGTAGAGGTAAAAGCCAATAGAGGAGATAGAATGGAATACCATAGCATATCTGATGAACCCAAACAGAACAGGAAACCAGGGACAAAGGAGGAGCATAAAACAAACAGCAATGTGGCAGACTAAAATTTACAACATACATTAAATATAAATCGACTAAACACTCAGAACAAATGGGAAAGATTGTTGGACTGGAAAAGAAGCACGATATGAATGTATTTTGTCCCTAAGAAACATATTTTAAATATACAGACACGTAGAAATAAAAATTATATAGAAAAAGTTATACTGTACTAACACTAAGCATCAAGAATCTGATGTATCTATACTGATATCAGACAAAGAAAAATCCAAAAAAAAGAGTATTATGAATATAAAGAGGGTCTTTACATTATGATAAAAAGGTCAACTCTTCAAGAAAACATAAGTTTCCTAAATTTATATATACCTAAAAAAAAATCTCAAAAGACATACAGCAAAAAATTGACAGAGAAAAAAAGAGAAATAGAAAATTCTACAATCATATTGGAAATTTTAACACCTATCTGTCAGTAATTGATAAAACAATTAGGCAAGAAGTTGGTAAGAATACACAAGATTTTAATAACCCTACCAACGAACTTGACCTAATGGACATTTATAATGCAATACACCAATTGCAGAATACAAATTATTTTCAAGGGTACAAGGAAAATTCACCCAGATAAACCCTAAATTTGGCCATATGATAAGTCTCAATAAGTATTAATAGTTAAATCACACAAAATATGTATTCTGGCCACAATAGAACCAAATTAAAAATTAATAATAGAAAGATATCTGGGAAGTCCCCAAATATCTGTAAGTTGAGCAACACAATTCTAAATAATCTATGGAGAAAAACAGAAATCAACAGGAAAATTAGAAAATATCTTCAACTGAATGATTAAAGGAAAAACGCAAAAGAACAAAATTTGTGGGATTTGGTTTAAGCACTCCTTAGATGGAAATTTAAGTTTTTAAATGCATCTATTAGAAAACACAAAGCTGAAAAATGTATGATTTAAGCTTCCAGGTAAAGAAGCTAGGAAAAGAACAGCAAGATTAAATCCATAGAAGGTAGAAGATAGGAAATAATACAGATATAAGCAGAAATCAGTGGAATAAAAAACAAACGGTAGAGAAAATCACTTACAAAAGTTAATTTTTAACAATTAATAAAGGTTAATGAATGCCTAGGCGGCTTGATCAAAATAAAGAAATAAATTTAAAATTACTTATATCAAAACATTGTTGAAACGCAGACTTCAGTACACATTCTGCAGAAATTAAAGGGACAAAACAAGGATACTATCAACAACTTTCTACCAATGAATTTGACAATTTAGATGAAATGGTCGATTTCCTTGAAAAACACAATTTATTTAAACTGACATAAAAATAAATCATCCGAATAGTAACATAACAAAAACTTCTAATCTGTAATTTAAAAAGGTTTCTACAAAGAAAACTACAGATCCAGATTCCTTAACTGGTGAATTCTATGAAACATTTAAAGAAAAAATCGAGAAAGAGGGAATACTTCCCAGGTCATGAGGCCAGCAAATCCCTATACTTAAACACTGACAAGGACACTATGAGAAAAGAAAATCATAGGCCAATATCTCTCACGGCTGTATATAATTTTTTTAAAAATAGCAAATCCAGTCCAATAATACTTAAAGATAATGTATACAGTATGACCACCTTGGAGTTTATCCCAAGAATACAGGGTTGTTTTTACATAAAATATCAATCAGTGTAATTCACTATATCAAGAGCAAAGGAGAAAAAACACTTATCATCTCTGTACATTGAGAAAAAGAATTTGATAAAACTTACATCCATTCTTTATAAAAATTCTCATTATAGTAGGAATAGAAAGGGATTTCCTTAATTTAATAAAATATATGTACCAAAACCCTGGCACTAACACTACGTTTAATGGAAAAATAGCAATTATTTGCCCTCTGAGTTTAGAAAAAAGATAATGATGTCGACTATAACCACTTCTATTAAACACTGCACTACAGGTCCTAACTGGTGCAATTAAGCATGACAAAGAAATAAAAGTTATAAAGAAATGAAAAAGAAGTAATAAAAATATCTGAGGTGATATTTTATAAAACAAAAAATTATGTAAACTCAGAATTTTAAAAAGTGAAATTGGCAATTTTCTCATATATTATTTCAATATTCTTAAATCAATTATTTCTATGTACTTCCAAGAAACAACTGGAAGATGAACTGGGAAAAGCAATACGATTTAAATGTCACCAGAAAGCATCAGATTTCCAGAGATAAATTTAATAAAATATGTTCAAGATTTACAAAACAAAAAGTGCAGTATATTGTTAAATTAAACTCAATACCTACATAAATGGAGAGATAACATGTTCATTTTATTGGAAGGTTGAATACTGTCAAAATATCAATTCTCCTCTACCTTACCTAGAGAGTTATTGCAAACTTAAAAATCCCTACAAATACTTTAAATGGAAATTGATAAACTGCAAAAAAAATTAGAATAGCCAAGACAAGCTTTAAAAAACTGAAACAAAGTTCTAGCACTTACCGACCATTTTTCAAGGCTTAATATAAATTTACAGTAATTCAGTGTTGTGTTAAAGCAGCAATAGAAAATAAACCATTGGAACAGAACACAGAGTATAGATATAGCATTTGGCTTTCTAACAAAAGAGTTACTGTAATTTATTGGATGTGTTTAGGTTCTTAAAAAAAAAAATAGTAGACAGCAATTGGATAACTGTGTTGGAAAAAAAATGAACCTTGATCCCTACCTCACAAGGTAAAAATATTTTTATTTGAGATAGATCATAAGCCAAATATAAAAGTTTAAAGATTAAACATGTTATAAAAATTAGGAGATTATTTCTATAACCTCAAGTGGACAAATATTTATTGTATTGGATAAAAAAAATCACTATCCGTGAAAGGAAAGATTGACACACTGGATTTTATTAAAATTAACAGCTTTTGTTCATTACACAACAGCATTAGGAAAGGCAAATCTGAGACACAGAGAACAGATTTGCAATATATGTATCTGACAAAAGACTCATATCTTGAGTATATAAAGAACTGCTCTGAATCTATTTGAAAAAGGAGAGACAATTCAATAAAAAATGAACAAAAGTACTTGAGAAGAAACTTCAAAAAGATGCTATGCAAATGGCCAATAGTATAATAAAAAGGTGATTAATACTATTATTCATTAGGAATACGTAAATTCAAATCTCAGTAAGATGCTTCCACATACTCATCAAAACAGATAAAATTAAGACCGACACTACCCAGTGATGGTGAGGACATGGGCAATTGGAGAACTGGACACTTCATACATTGCTGTTGAAACTAATTTACAAAACCACTTTGGAAAACTGTTTGGCAGCATCTACTAAAGTTCAATGTACACCTACCCTGTGATTCAGTATTTCTACTACTAAGTTTTTGTCTAAGAGAAATCAATACATATGTTTACCAAAAGACATGTAAAAGAATGTTAATAGTATTTTTAAAAATAATAGTCCCAAACTGGAAACAACCCAAAAGTCCATCAACAGGAGACTGTGTAATTGACTGTGGTACATTTTTCAATGTAATATTGCACAGCAATTATAAAGAAAAAACTACTGACACATGCAAAAAAATAAATGAATCTTTTACATATAATGATGACTGAAAAAAGCCAGACACAAGGATCACTGTATGATTTCATTTATATGAATTTCAATAACATGCAAAACTAACTGATGGTAATAGAAGTCATAGTAGTAGCTACCTCAGGGTTGGGGGGCGTAGGGGCACGGGTAAACTTCATGGGATGAAGAAACTATTTTATATCTTGATACGTATGGTAAATTCAAAGATATATATACTTAGGTAAAAACTCATCTATAGTCTTAAGTGTACTTTACTATATGTACGCTTCACTTCAGTAAAAAGGAAAGATTCATTCATCCATGCTACTGTGTAATTCAAAAAACAAACGAAAAATACATTCAACCCTAAACAAGTAGGTACTATAATAATCTAGTTCAGGCTACATAATTGACTATAGTGCTTATCTCTTACTTGAATGACTCAATCCTTGTCATTTGAAGGAACTGTATGATTGTTCTACCAACCACTACCAGCTGTGTGCCTGGGCATACCTTTCTAAGAGAATCAGCTGCAGGCAGAGGCTTGGAAGTATACATTATCATCTACAAAAATAGCAAGGCTTCTTAAGTGATTTGTGGCTAGCAGTCAAAGATTGAAGAATGCTCCACCAAACAGTCTCTCTGTCCACAGGATGTTGTCCTGCTGAGTCAGTAATAATCATCCTCATTTTATATAGAAACAAATTTGGGCAAAGAAAAGGTAAAGAGATAGTTTGAGATTATGTTGCTAGTCAGTATTCGATTGGGAAATAAAATATAAGTCTGCCAAATAAGAAGCTGCTCTGTGATACTGGTTGGAGTAGATAAGGAAGGAAAGAAGGAAGCATTTAAGAGAAGAAATTTTACCTGGGAATCCAGGAAGGCCTGGTTGTCCTTTTGCTCCAGGGGTTCCTGGTAATCCAGGCAAACCAGGATCTCCCACAGAACCTTTGATACCAGGGTTCCCTGGGTATCCAGGCAGACCAGGCTCACCCTGAAAACATGAATAAAAAGATAATATTGAAGTCTCTACATGGCTTAGATTGTATAAGAACATAACATTATTTATAGAGCTTTTATTATATGTCAGGCACTCCAGTAAGTACTTGATGTAAATTGCTTCATTTAATCATCACAACAATCCTGTGAGTTAGTCTTCATTATCTCCATTTATAAATGAGAAAACTGAATCTTGAGAAGCCAAGTGCCTAAGGTTTTTAACTGGGATTCGAACCAGACTACAATCAGCTATGTAGTCAATCAGACTACATAGTTCATACTATTCACACAGTATGTAGATGTATTATGCTAATTAATTCTCATTAATCCTTAACAACCCTATTAGAACGATACTGTTATTATCCCCATGTTATAGTGATGGAGCTAGTAAGTGGTGAAATCCGAATTTGGAGTCAAACAGTCTGACTTCAGAACCTGTGTTTACCATTCCTACTGTGCCATAATGCAATTCATTGCTTCCAGTACACATGTCAACCAAAAGCTATAGTAGGTTCTACTGAAAAAGGTGATTTTCACTGTAACATAAGGAAGTCTATCAATTCTTCAGTGGACATCTAAAATCCCACTTCTGGCTGAGTGTTGTGGCTCTAGCACTTTGGGGAGTTAAGGCTGGAGGATTGAGCCCAGGAGTTTAAGACCAGCCTGGGTAACAAAGGGAGACTCTGTCTCTATAAAAAATTAAAAGATCAGCTGGGTGCAGTGGTGCATGCCTGTAGTCCCAGCTACTCAGGAGGCTGAGGTAGGAGGATAGCTTGAGCCTAGGAGGTCAAGGCTATATTGAGCCGTGATCATGCCACTGCAGGCCAGCCTGGATGACAGAGTGAGACTCTGCCTCTTAACAAGAAAAGAAAAATCCCATTTCTTCCATGAAGCATTCCTGGACAAAGAGAGTTTACCCCAAGAGGTTAGGGTAGGTTCTAACTCTGTCATGTCTACAATGGCTTCATATATGCAAGTCTTAACTCCTTAATTACACTGAAAGTTTATTTTGGGTAAGAGATAATTCACATATGTATAACCATTTTTGCTCAATGAATATTTGCATTACATTTTTTTCCAATAGAGCCTTAGAAGAATTCATACCCACTTTCACAATTAAAACAAGTTTTTCCCAATAACAATGGCAACACATACCTTAACACTAAATCTCTACTGCAGGGCTTACTGCTTTGCTCATGAAGATCATGATCTTTACAATAAAGTGCTAGTGTTCAACATCACCTACTGAATGCTTCCTTCCTCACTTAGTACATACACTTGCAGGTGAGTCAGATCTATTTGTGACTCATGTTTCTGCATTATGGTAATAGCTTTTTAAACTAAAGTCTTTTTTTCCTTACATCCTATTATTTTAAAAAATTAAGAATCTTGGGCTGGGAATATATATATTTTTTCTGAACCTTGTAAATCAAATATCTAGTTTATTTTGAGGCACATAATAGGTATACAATTAAATTTTGGATTGAATTGGTCCCATCTTAGATGTTTACATGGGAAACCTTTGAATAAACTATCATGATTCTTTTTGTTATTCGTGAACAAATTAAATATATGTACCAAAATAAAAAAACAAGAAAAAAATTCCAATATTCTGCTAGTGGTAAATCTGAAAGGCAGAAGGCAAACTCTGGATTATTTATGATACTAAAGTACATTAAATTCTAAAAGTACAGAAATTCTTCCTTATGAATGGTTTTGCAATCCATGGTTTCGGTTACCTGTGTTGTGAAAATATTGAAAATTCCAGAAATAAATAACTTATAAGTTTTGAATTGCATGTCATTTTGAGTAGCATGATAAAATCTCATGTTGTCCCATTCCATCCCTCTTGAAACCTAAACTACTCCTTTGCCCAGCATATCCACACTATAAACACTACCTGTTTATGAGTCACTTAGTAGCTGTCTGTTACCAGATGGAAAAAAAACACACAGTACATAAAAGGTTAGGTATTACCCACAGGTTCAGGCATCCAATGGGGAGTCTTGGAATGTATCCCCCATGGTAAGGGGGGACTACTCTAAGCCCAATCTCTAAGTTCAGCCAGCACTTGCCCCCAAATACCGTTTCTGTAATCACTCTTATGGTCCTACTCCTTCAAACCAAATACCTTTTAAAAATAAAGTAAATATTTTATTAGGGCTTCTGAAAAAAACACTGACGTTTGCTAGCTTAAGTTTTATCTAGCCTTTTATTATTCACATACATGCAGGGAAAACAATGAGTTTCAAAAAAGGTAAGCAAGAAGAGATAAAGAAGACAGTGCTCAGAAAATCTATAAACTGGACACAAATCTTGCAAATCACTCTGGGAAAGGAAACTTCAAATCTACTTGTACTTCTAGATAGAAGCGATTTGAATGACTCGGACACATAGCTGCAAATATCTACATCTGTTCTAATGTCAAGCTTTGATATAATTCTGAAAATGAAATATCTCATACCTAATAAGTCACATTTACCATTGTGAAACTATCTAATGACTACAGTAACACTGAAAGACAAGTCTGAAACTGCTTTCAAGGTCACTGTGTTGTATCACGTAGAAAAAGGAGTCAATTTGATATCTTCTTTGTTGTTAAGATTCAAATTGTAATTTAATGGTATTTGGATCATAGCCAATCTCTACTATGTCTTAGTAACAGCATCTTCTCCTCCATTCCATACTATAACCTAAAATTCAGAATAAACTTTACAAAATAGAAGACATCTATTGGTAAGAAAGCTAAACACTTTTGTTCTTACACTCCATTGTAAAACTAAAGCAGCATTGCCACTGGGGGAAAAAAAAGACAACAAATGGAGAATATTTGAGGAGAAAGAGTAACTATCATATCTTGCTTTATGGCGAGAAGAATATTACAACAGTAGTCCATCACTTGGAAGTCATGGTCCCCATATAATTGTTAATGTTTTTACAACATTATCTGTAATTGGAGATTAAGGACCATGAATAAAACCATAAATAGGTTCTATTTTAGATCCAGAATATTAACAGAGGGAAATTTAAAAGTGCATGCAGAGATACTTTTTTAAAAACTTTATTAATCTATATATAAAACCACACATAATGCATACACACTTATGAGTCTGGATATATGCATATACCCATGATACCATCAGCACAATCAAAGTACTACACATATCCATCACCTCCAAAAATTTCTTCATGTTCTTGTGTGGGGGGGGGGGGTTGTGGTAAGAGCACTTAACATGAAATCTATCCTCTTAACATATTTTAAGGTGAACAATACTGTACTGTTAACTGTAGGCACCATATTGTATAACAGATCTGTAAAACTTACTCATTGTGCATAACTGAAGCTTTAGATCCATTGAGCAACTATTAACATTTTAATTATCTAGAAAAGGAATTATACAGTAAGACCTTCAAATTTGCATGTTATTTAGTTCTTCCAAGTAGTGAAATATTAAGCTAACAGTAACAAACTGATAAATAATGGCTCAAGGATGCCTGAGCAGGCCAAAGCCGCCACATGAAATTCAATAGCAGTATGTCTAAGGTAATGATGAACTTAGAGAAAAAGAATCTGAACAAAACTTAAAAGATAATGAGCTCTATACTATCTTTTACCACCCAAGGTAGGCATAATAGCAAATTGCTCCAAACATCAGCCCAATGAGCCGACAAGTGGCTCAAAATATTAAAGAAAAAATGATTCATAAATCATGCTATTCCATACTAGCACAGCATGTGTAGTTCTAGTAATCACAGCACATACAATTACTTAAAATGTGTCCAAAGTTAATTGTGAGGAAAATAACACCCATTTGTTCATCAAATCTCAAGATTCTAGAACTAAAAAACATCCTAAAATAAAGACAGTAATTTAAAGACAACTAAAAACATTACATGTTATTAGTAGAAACTTTGTAGATTTTCAATAATGTGCATTGTTTTAAAATAACTTTATTGAGATATAATTTATATACCATACAATTCATCCACTTAAAGTGTACAATTCAATGTTTTCAGTATCTTCATAGGATTGTCCAACAATCATCACAATGTAATTTTAGAAAATTTTCCATTTCCCCCAGAGGAAACTGTACACATTAGCAGTCATTCCTCATTCTCACTCCCTCCAAGCCCTAGCAAAACCTAATCTGCCTTCTCTTTATACAGATTTGCCTATTCTGGACATTTCATATAAATGAAACCATATGATACACGGTTATTTTGTGCCTTGCTTATTTCACTTAGCATAATGTTTTCAAGGTTCACCCATTTTACACCATGTATCAGTACGCCATTTTTTAAAATTGTCAAATGATATTCCATTGCATGGGATAGCACACTTTGGTTTTTGTTCGCTTGTTTTTTACATTTTTCCATAAGTTATTGGGGTACAGGTGGTATTTGGTTACATGAGCAAGTTCTTTAGTGGTGATTTGTGAGATTTTGGTGTACCCATCACCCAAGCAGTATACACTGCACCATATTTGTAGTCTTTTATCCCTTGCCCCTCCTCTCACCCTTCCTCACAAGTCCCCAGAGTCCACTGTATCATTCTTATTCCTTTGCATCCCCAAAGCTTAGCTCCCACACATCAGGGAGAACATACAATGTTTGGTTTTCCATTCCTGAATTACTTCATTAGAATGATAGTCTCCAATCTAATCCAGGTCGCTGCAAATGCTGTTAATTTATTCCTTTTGATGGCTGAGTAGTATTCCATTGTATATATATATACCACAGTTTATCAGTTCTTTGATTGATGGGCATTTGGGTTGGTTCCATGATTTTGCAATTGCGAATTGTGTTACTATAAACATTCGTGTGCAAATATATATTTTTTTTGTATAATGACTTCTTTTCCTCTGAGTAGATACCCAATAGTGGGATTGCTGGATCAAATGGTAGTTCTACTTTCAGTTAAGAGTCTCCACACCATTTTCCAGAGTAGCTGTACTAGTTTACATTCCCACCAGCAGTGTAGAAGTGTTCCCTGAT